AAAATAAAAAAATAAAAACAAAATAGAACTCCATGAAGGAGACTAGACGCCAAACGAGGTTAGACTTAACAAAACACAAACCCACAAAGACAAAAAAAAAGGCACACCCAATAAACAAATAAAGTAAAACCTCCCGTAAACCTAGCAGGCGAGCCAAAAGACCACCCAAACCGACACCCGAGACCCCCACCGCACCTAACATCACAACAAAAATACAAATCTAAACCCCATACCCAAAAACTTCGGTCAAAACGCTAAGACAGATTTGGCCGTTCTCGGTTCGATCTGGGCTCCATATGACTTCAGAGTCGGGGAAGAGAGGAGGAGTTGCAACGAAAACATCGGAGGGCTCGAAACCAAGACCGAAGAAAGGGCCTTCCATAACAGCACACAACCGAAAAGGCCAAAGCTGTACGCAACCTATCAGCCACATCCCTCAGGTTGAAGAACTGAAAGCGCACGAGCATGGACTCTGGTGGAACAGTATTGGTGAATGTTTCTTTCAACAATATATAACAGACTACAAAATTATTCAAGAACTTTTCTCTTTAATTTACTATTTCTGGATTCTAATCCCCATTTTGCTACTTATTTACTATCTTATAATTTTTTTTTCTCCATCTCTTATATGATAATCATAAATGATTTATGAAAGATGCTTAGTTACATGATGGTGCACATATATATATATATATAAATGGATATAAACTTGTACACACAAACACAAGTATGTGCACACCACATGTTGATGGACATTTAAAAATTAAAATGCACAAACTAGAAAATGCAAATAGTCTAGAAAACATATCATAATATACATGATGCTGATGGTCTTTCATTAACATGAAAATTTAAGAAAACAAGCACTATAAACAAACCTTGCCTTGCAGAAAAAACCAAATGCAAAATCCAAGTTAGCCCTAAGAATGGGAAAAAATCAATCTCAAACACTAGGCAAAAATAATAATAGTATTAAAATCCACAATAATAACTTGAAAAAAAAAAAAACTAAAACTAATAAATCAATCACCTAAGGCTTTATATTGGCCTCTATCTTGTCCCCATTGTGTCTTAAGTGATAATAAACTTCATCTATTTACTTTGGCCTATGAAAAAAAAAAAGAACTTTAGGAAGCCTTTTGATTTGACACCGGAAAGTCAACGGGCAATGTCTGAAGATCTTGTGGTGTATCCATATTGTTGCTCCATCTCCCAACTCAATTTTAACGCATCCTCATCTTGTTCAGGAACGTAATCCTATAATCATAAGACGTATGATCTCTTAAATTTATTTAATCGAAAATAAACAAATAAATAAATTTCGATAATTAAAATAGAATTAATTTAATTTTAAAGAATTACAAAATCAATTTTAATGAAAGCATGTTGTACCTCGAGCTTGTTCATGAGTTCATGGGCAGTTGGGGCAGACAAAATGATGTGACGGGCAGAAGGTCTAATGAAACCTTCATCCACAGCCTTGTCTATGAAAGACAACAATGAATTGTAGTATCCATCTACATTTAGTAAGCCCACCTGTATTCATCATCATATAAATAAATAAATAAATAAATATAACCATATTCAGAAAATAAAATTAATAAGGAAAAAAAAGGAACATATATAAAATTATATATAAATTTTGGGAAATGCTATGGTCCCGTTACGGAACTATTCTGTCGGGAATTGTAACTGTATAACCGTCGGGATAGTTGATGTAAAGGTTACAATTCTTGACGGAATGATACCGTAACGGAGTGTAGCATCTCCTATAAATTTCAACTAAACAAATAACATATTTCGACATTTTATTTTATTTTTTTTACCGGTTTTTCATGAATTCCAAGCTGAGCCCAAGTTATGACCTCTAATAGCTCCTCCAATGTACCATACCCGCCTACAAATTTGTTTTTCAAACATAAATAAAAAAGAATTAAATAAAATTGGGGGAATTAATAAGTTGTAATATAATAATTAAATTGTAATATTTGACAATTAAGAAATATAATTAATTTATTTAATATAAAATAAAAATTTACCAGGCAAGGCTATGAATGCATCAGCTTGCCTAGCCATCTCTGCCTTTCTCTGATGCATACCAGAGACTGCTCTCACTTCTCCGACTGGCTCTCCCGTTATCTGAAATTACATTTTTGTCCCTGTCTTAATTCATTTTTTTTTTCCTAATTACAAATTTTTGGACGGGTCGGTTCGTCGTACTTAATTTGTTAACAAAATCGCGTACACATATGTTATGAAATGTCATACATCTGATTATGATGTTTTTTTAATATGACATTTAAATATAAAATTATGCATATATCAATTAAAAAAAATATATGAATATTTATCCTAGTTCAAGAAAATTCAACTATTAACAATTAACATGCTCAAATGCAATATTATTATTATTTATTTTATTTATATTTGCAATATCTTTTGACCTTTATGAAAGACCAAAGAGATTGATGCACATGTTAAAGATAGAGCTTTTAATTAATTAAAAGACTAATCTTGGCAGTTTCTTGTTGTTTGTACTTTGTAGTTTTAGTACTTCAAGGAGATTATGTTTGTCTTTTTTTTTTATTTAATTATTATTTTAAAATAAAATAAAATTGGGCGGCCAATTGTGATTGGTTAAAGAAGTTTCGTGGGTAGTTTTCACAAATTATCTGGTAAATAAGTTTGAAAGGTACATATATTAAAATTACCTCTCTGGGCATTAGAGTTGTTGGAATCACCCTACATAACAAACAAAAAAAAATTAAAAAAAAAAATAATTTTCTTAATTAGGAATATAACCAAAAATATATATATATATATATATATATAGGAAATTTAATTCAGCAAAATTCTATTAATAATAAGGGGAAGAGTAATTTACTAATTTACCCTAACACGTGGCGGCCTCCATCATAAACAGCTTGAGAGACGAGGCCCATCAACCCTATGCTTCCACCTCCATATACCAAGTCTATGTTCCTTTCAACCTGTAATCCAAATTATTTACCAATAACTAATAATAACAATTCTAATATTTTTTTATAATAATAATAATAATAATAATAAT